GGGAGACCTACTAGATATTAATTAAATTATAAATATATCAATTCATGTGAATATGACTGAAAATTTTCATTTTTTCGGAAATCGTGGTGTCTATTTACTTGTGACCACGCTGTGTATTATTCTTATTATATTTTTGACTTTGTATATTTTTATTGGTTATTTCATGTTCACAAGAGCAAGTTATTTTACGTGTACTTGATTTAAGAATACTTAATTATCATTCTAAAAGTGGATATTTATTGTCTTTCTTTTTCTTAATTGTATTCAAAATCGTTAACTCTGTTACAATAGTTAAGATTTTGTAACTCCTAATGTATTACAATAAACCGCCTGTATAACATTTAAAATGTTTTGCATTTTTTTATGCTACATGTTCATACAGTTTTGACCCCTCAGTGGCACAGCGGCATGTCTGCGGTCTTACAACACTAGAATCCGGGTTTCGATACCCGTGGCGGGCAGAGCGCAGATAGCCCTTTATGTGGCTTTGTGCTTAATTACAAACAAACATACACACAGTTTCGTGTAATACACCTTATATTTATAGCACTGTTATACAAAACATAAAATACTGAGACTTTCAGCTTTTTTTTATCATAAGTAAAAATCAATTACTGAATTAAAAGATAATCTGCAATTTAAAAAATATTTTCTTTACAAAATCGTCACAAGTTTACATAAACTTGCCAAAAAATCAAACTCTGGCTGCCCAATAACACAAAGTTTAGAAAAAACATTTTACATTAAAAATACGTTCCATTTAAATAAGGTTTTTTTTGTAATTAAAATTTTGGCGTCGACATACTATATTGTGACAAGTTTTTCATAATTGAAATTTCTAGAAACAGTACGATTAATTAGAATCAACAGTTCCTATTAAATGGCCATTGTATAAACAGACCAATAACAAAGAATATACAGTTGTCCCTTTTTTATTGCAGATTTTGAAGAAACCCTTTTTAAAATGCACAAAATTTCGAACTAAAGACCGAGATCACAGTTCAGTACTAAAGCTAGAATTCTTTCATGGAAATACTGAATATTACAATTACCGCGAAGATCAATATTTTGTCATTACAACTAATTATTATATAATCAGTTCACTTTAAATGTATCTGTTTTGTTTTAATATTAATCATTTTGCTAGTTTATTTTCTAGGCCAAGTTTGTTTGTTTTTTATTTATAAGAAGGAAATCAATTACTCATCTTGCTGGCATAAATATTTCAATATTTACAAAGTAGGAAAATTTTTCAACTTCATTTCTCCAATAATAACTACTTTGTCACATTTACATTAAACTGTTTGAACGCAGATTATAATAAAACACTGTAGACTACTGCAGGATTATATTGACCTTTCAATTTCTTTTCAAGCTTGTGTTATGTTAAATGCAAAGATAATCTCTCATTTGTTTAGCTTACTGAAATATTGGTTGGCATATTTGTTTTATTTCTGTTTCTTAAAACAACAACAATGTTATTTAACTTGTAACAGCTTGAATTTTTTTCAAGAAATATTTAACATTTGAATTATTATGTTTACTTAATTGATATTTTAAATATATTGTAGACATTAAAAGCCACCATCTATTCTCATACATAATCACTTTCTGTATTACCAGTGCAATAACTAAAGCTATACATATTTCTCAACTGTCAAATAGGGAGTTTATACAAGATGTTGAGAAATATATTAACAAAACTGTTTGTGTTTCAGAGACAGAAGCTTTAATCCTGTGCTACAATGGTTACACCACTCCATTAGGCCATTAAAGGTACATTGCAGCATACGTGGAATAAAACAGTGACGTATGCCTGTTAGGAGTTTTAACACAAATATAAACTAGAAATACACTGAGATAGTGCAACTTCCATCTCAAACCAGATTTGACTTTTGCATTAATTAACCTAACATAAATAAGAAACAGTTCCTCTCCCCTCAAAAATGTAGGTCTAAGTGCCAAGATTTTCCATCTCTCTCTATTTCAATTTATTTCGGGTTTTGACTGTTTTTTTCAAAATCTCAATTTGCTACTATTATAAAGTGGTTGACTTTCAATGTGACCTTGATCTTTGAGCTATCTTTACCAAAACTTAAACAATTCTTTCTTGGGGAACACTCAACCATTGTACCAAATTCTATCAAAATCAGAAGAAACTTTTTGAGTTATAAGGATAGCCTTCAATGTGACCTTGACCTTTATCTTACAGTCACCAAATGTTAGACAATTGGTTCTTAGAGGACAATCAACCTTTGTATCAGTTTTGGTCAAAATCAGAAGAGAACTTTAGTTATACTGCTCACAGACACAAACATATACGAGTGAAAACTACCCTCGCTGTCAGGTGGGGTAGTAAATCTGTTAATATCATTTCTAAACAGCTTGCACATATACTTTTAAACAAGCCCAATTATTTATAAAGGAGAAGGTTATATGTTTAAGATAGGTATTTTTTTCATTCTTGAGAAAGCTGCCTCATTAGTTAAATTACAATAAGATTTAGTGTTTGTTTTGTTAACTATTTAACTCTGTTAAGTGCTTTAACACCACTGTTATCAGACGTACCTGGCGTAGCTGTTTCACTTCACCATTAAAATGAAGGTTTAATCCAATGTGTTGTCAATAACAAGCTTTAATATTAAAATTCTAGTTAAAACACAGAATTACCAAGAATTTTAGTCCACATCATTTAAAAAATAATTTTGTCTTATTCTCTTTACAGTAAATAATCACAAGACTTAAAAAAAAATAGCAAGAGATTATAAAGACAAAAATACATGCAGACCACTGTGGAAAGAAAAGCATAAAACTAATTTAAAAACAATAATTTGAACAATGCTAGATAGCTTTAACATAAAATTTCTACAACAGAAATTAAATATATAGAAATGTATCAATATGAAAATTATGCTCATTGAGGTAAAAACACTTAAAAAATTACAGCAATTGCTCACATTTTACTGCTTTTGTCTTAAAACAGTTCATCAGAAAGATGCTACTATTAAAACTATACAAAATAAATGTTCTAAATCATTAGTGTACAAAAAGAACAAATTTTCCTCATTATATTCTTCATCAACACATTAAAATTGCTGATCTAAGAAAGGTGAGTACTCTTTGACCCTTTTCAGAAAACATTCAGATTTTTTAAGTCTTTTTTTTTTTTTTACACTATTATTATTAGCTAGTGAAAAAATCAGATTTACCAAAACAAAATAAAAATGTATTGAAATTGTGGATATTTCCACACCTGAGTAAATGTCATGTTTTAGTTAAAAAAAAGTTAAAGTTGATCATATAATTTTAGATAGTTATCCAATGTTTCAAGCCGAGTATTTTTGTACTTGATTTCTTTTCCAATACTTTCAACCATGTATTTCTGTGCTCAATGTTTAAACTTTTTTTTTGCAGCTGATTACAAGCCCACCTCACTGCATTTCCAATGGTTGGAAAATATTGATTTTACACTTGATAACACATTATTTCTTTAAAAGAGCATTTACACTTAGCTGCTTATAACCTGTGTGATTATAACCTGTTTTCATGATAGAAAAATATATAACAAAGGAAAACAAACAAAATGCCATTTTTTATAGATTTCTCTTCAATGAAGAGTATAAAAGTATTCTTTATCCATACATCCATGATGTTACAAAAACACATAGGTTCAAGAAGTCTTGATGGATATGAATAAAAACCCTATAACCTGAGTGTTTTCGAAACGTGGACCCTTCTTCTTCAGGGGCAAGCTGTTTGTTCCAGAAGAAGAAAGATACACCTTTCAAATGAGCTCAGGTTATAGGGTTTTAATTCATCTTTACCCATACATGTTGGAGTGGTGGAACTTCAATAACTTAAACAAGAGCTTTTTCATCGTAGAAAGTTGGGTGTACATAAATTGTCACTCAGTTTATTAAGACTCAAAATTACACACTTTCCCAATACAGTCATCAATGATTTGTTCTTACTCCTCACTTCATTTGGCACTAATCAAGCCATTTCTCCAGCAAAACAGAAAGTGATAAAATATGATTTTATCAGCATGCTTATTAGCCTTTCGAAAATTGTGTTGTGTTTAAATTATTTGCATTTTGTCCTGCAGTCTCTGAACTAACAACAAAAATCTCATTCTGAATGATATGATTACTTACACAGGTTCATAATAAAGCTGATAATAAAACTGAAACAAAACAATTTTGTCTCATTCAATTAACATTCCTTTCAATATCTTTTCTTTCTAGTCTTTCACAGCTGAAACATATTCCTGGTAGCAAAAACCACAATTATAGTTGGCACATTTTAGTCAAGAGCATTTACATCATATTTTACAATATCATCAGTCAGCTGTTCTTCAGTTTGTTTACAATGAAAAATAATGACTTCTCACTGTACTGTCCTTTTTTTTTACCGAGGAAGAGCTTCATTTAACAACAATTTTCTTCTACAGAACATCACAAGTATGCTCCTTCATGCCTGGAGACTGAATAAAATACTATTGGTTATGTTTAAAGAAATTTATATTTCACAATCAAAACACCAACAATCTCATTAGGTAAAATTTCCTCCATTTGTATATAAAAAAAAGAACTTTTAATAATAACAGTGTTTTGTCTTAACACTGTAATAATATTACAAGCTTTCGTAAAAATGGTAATTACATTTCCTTGCACTTTTTTTTGGGTGTGACCAGGTCAGTAAATACCTCACTTTATAAAGAGTTGGGTAAAGAAAATACTATCAATGTATTCATGTACCCTTATTTATATATAATGCATCCTTTTGTAATTTAGATTTCTCGCCATGTCTTTTAATTAAGCCATTTTAATGGGTTTTTTCATTAAATTACACTTTCATACCTATTGATCTGTATGATAACTCTTTGAATACATAATTTTCCTTGAAGAAAAATTTATTCACATTTAATCTAATTATAGATTATCCATATTTATAAGTTAAATTTGACTGAAACCAGTTTCTATAATAATTCTATTAATAAGTACAAAGCAATGCTTAGACTGTTCACTTATTGTAATTTAAAGCATAAAACAGGCTCTAATCTACTCATTTAAAAATACTTAGCAAAATTTACATTGTTGATTTAATGTAAGTAAATATATCACACACACATACACATCAGAATCTGTAGCCAAATGAATATAATACTGTGAAACATCTGTAAAGGTGAGGCACATTAAATATATTTTTTTTCCAGAAATGAAGTGCTTTACTTATCTAACTGTACTTTAATAATACCTTACTTACAATTTCACTTTATACAGTAAATATAACACATACGTATATCACAGATTTGAGATATAACTACCATCATAATTTTATGAAAAGTCCACTTACCCAAATTCTTACAATATCACCTGAAACTACTTATTGAACTTTCAATTAATCAGTTATTCTATTTAAAGGATGCAATACAAATATATATACTGAACTAATTCTGTTAAGTTGTGGCTTAGCTTTATAAAATTAGAAAAACTCTTTTATAGTCGATTCCTTTCATTTCTAGCCCTCACAATGATCATAAGTGAACTATGGTGCACACTTATGTTTATTTGTTCACTTATACTGTTTTAGCCATCTGGTGATAGACCTTTATACCTAGATATGTCTAGGCACCTAAGTTCATGTAATACTTTTAATAATCTTAATGGCAATACGTTGTTTTAATATTGGAAATAATTTTGTATTCTACACTTTGGTCTCAATACAACCCTTAAGGCTAAGTATAAATAAACAGTATGAATTAATCTGTTATGTTAGTTTCATACTTCTAAAAATATGTTTACTCATAAAAAGCAACATTAACATTACAGTTAGCACAATTTAAGAAAGTCCTATTTCTTTTTTTATCTCTTGAGTTTTATCCAAGTAATTCCAGATGATACTGTTACAACAGCGGAAGTCACGTGATGCTTTTAACACGTCATGAGATCCTCGAAGGATCTTGAATTGTCCTGGCAACTCTAGTCTGTTCCATGAGCCTTCTTTTTTAGTATATAAGCCCGGCAAATAAAGCAGGAATGATATAGATAGAGAGATTAAAGATCGAGATAGTCGAGTCAAGCCGTGGTTGGGGTGTGTGAGTCCCTGTGAATTATAGCATGTGTTTATAAAAGTAGTTAAGTTTAAAGTGACTGTGGAAGTTAAATGTATTGCAAGGTTTGTAGCGAGAAAGAATGGACTGGTTTTTATTAGGAAGGGACTTGTATCACTGAAGTTTCTCGGAAAGAGTTTCTGCGAGAAATTAACAAACAAGCAGATAGTAACAAATTGGTGTCAGAGAGTGGGACGGAAAAGAGAAAAAAAATGGAAACAAGAAATGGCAAATCAAACTACAGCTTAGCATATTTGATGGCAGCAATACAAGAACAGCAAAAGAAACAAGAAGAATAAGAAAAGAAACAAGAAGAGAGATTACAACAGTTGTTGGAGGAAAATGAAAAGAAACAAGAAGAACGAGAAAATAAACAAGAAGAGAGATTACAGCAGTTGTTGGATGAAAAAGAAAAGAAACAAGAAGAAAGATTACAGCAGTTGTTGGATGAAAAAGAAAAGAAACAAGAAGAGAGATTACAACAGTTGTTGGAAGAAAAAGAAAAAACAAGAAGAGAGATTACAACAGTTGTTGGAGAAAAAAGAAAAGAAACAAGAAGAACGAGAAAATAAACAAGAAAAGAGACTACAGCAGGGGCAACTGGAACAAGAAAGGAAACAAGAAGAACAAATGGAAAAGCTTAGTAAATTTCAAAGAGAATTAAATACATTAAAAAATGATTTATTGTCTTTTACACAAGGAGGATACATTAACCATCGACTTAATCAGACCCAGACAACGACAAGCCCCTTCTAGACCCCGCAGCTAAACCCTAATACAGACATCTTCAGTCCTGTTAGAAGTCACATCCCAGATATGAATGTCAGCAATAGGGGTGATCCAGTAAGAAGGAAGCCACAGGAATTCGATAGGAAGGCACTGTGGGAAGCATATAGAGCACAATTTGAGCTCCTGGCAGAGATTAATGGATGGACAGAGGAGCAGAAAGCAGTGTACCTGGCAACAAGCCTGAAGGGACAACCACTGGAAATACTTGGACAGTTGTCAGCAAACGACACGCACAACTATAGAAAAGTATGGCACACAAGGCCTACCCAACTGCACCACCCAATCTCCTCAAGTTGTTGCTGAGGGATCAGTCTGTAGATGTCTTAGACAGTCCACAACTGAAGATACAAGTAAATCAAGCACACCCCTCTACTATGCAGGATGCAATGGCCAGAGCTCTTGAATTTGAATCCTACATTAAGTCCAGCACAGAGGTACCAAGGTTGGTACAGTCATCAGGATTCAAGGCCAGAAAAGGTCAGCTTTCAGAGAGGTCTGAGGGACTTTGCTGGCACTGTAACAAACCTGGGAACAAGAAAGCTCAATGCTGGAAACTTCAACACAGGGAAGACGCCATCGCAGGAAAGGCTGCTACCCAGAAAGGTTTTTGGAACTGTGGAGAGCAAGGACATATGAGGAGCCAGTGTAAGAAGAATACCACCAACAAGTCAGCCTTGGGAAATCAGTAGTGGTTTGTGTTGATGGATGCCCACCAACCTCCATTGTGAAAGTCCCAACAGCTAAGTGTAAAATGGCAAGTACACATAGTGTTTACGTGACAGGAAAACTGGATGGCCAAAAGTACAACTTTGTTATAGATTCTGCATCTCAGCAAACCCTTGTGAGAATCAAGGTGCTAGATCACAAAGGAGTACCAGAAGCCATACAGAAGCTCTGTGGTGTGACAGGACACTATGCAAGGTTGTGGGTAACTATTGACCTCATGGGCTTAAAGAACATACACAAAGTATACTTGGCTGACATTGAAGACCAATGCATATTAGGGTTGGACTACTTACTACTGAGGAAGTGTGTAGTTAACTTCGATAAAATGACGTTTGGGAACAACAAAGGCCAAATTCCAGTAAGTGTTAAAAGAGAGGTTGAACTAATCAGGTGCCATCAAGCTAAAGTCAAAGTGGCTGAAGGAATTGATGATGGTGAAGTGGAACCAGGTATAGATATTAAATCAGAGCAAGAAAAAGACCAAGATTTAAGCCAATAATTGATTTTCTAAAAGCAAGTGTTTTGTGCCCTGCTTGGAAGAAGGTGTCTAGCTTAAGCCCTGTGACAAAGAACTATTGGGCACAATGGGACCAGTTGAAGCTTGAAGATGGTAGTCTTGTCCGGAGATGGGAGACTGCAGATTGGAAAGTGGCGACCTGGCAAACAGTTATACCAAGAAAGTTACGGGAAGTTGTGCTGCATCAATCCCATGATAGTTTAACAGGAGGACATCTCGAAGTTAAGAAGACATTGAGTCACCTACAACAGAGATGTTACTGGATAGGTTTGAGGCAAGACATGGAAGAATGGTGCAGGACCTACAGTACAAGTTGTGCAAAAAGAGGACCCAAGCATTAAGGGACATGCTCCAATGAAGTTACACCAAGTTGGTGCACCAATGGAAAGAGTAGCCATTGACATTGCTGTTCCTTTGCTCCAAACTCATGCTGGAAACAGGTACATTTGTGTGATGATGGATTATTTCACCAAGTGGCCTGAGGCATATGCAATACCAAATCAGGAAGCTAAACTGTAGCTTCGACTATTAGTGATTTCTTCTTCAGGTTTGGTATGTCATACGAACTGCATTCAGATCAAGGCCATAACTTTGAATCAACTGTGTTCCATGAATGCGGCAAGTTGTTTGGTATACGAAAGACCCGGACAATGCCACTTCACCTACAGTCTGATGGGATGGTAGAAAAGTACAATTGGACACTTGGACAGGAATTAGTAAAGTTTTGTAATAGCCGCCAAGATGACTGGGATGTCTTACTCCCTCCACTGTTGATGGCTTATAGAACAGCAGAGAATGAAGCCATTGGATAGACTCCAGTAAAGCTGATGTTTGGTCGGGAACTTTGGTTGCCAGTGGGTCTCATAACAGGATGCCCACCTTATGAAGAGTTGCCTGAAAATGTGTCAGAGTTTGTGAAACTGTTATCTGAAATGATGGATGATATTCACCATCAAGTGCATTCAAACTTGAAAATGTTTGCTGATTCCATGAAGCTATGTTATGATAAGAGATCTAATGAAGTCAGCTTTGTACCAGGAGACAAGGTGTGGTTGTATAATCCCAGGAAGACCAAAAAGAAGTCTCCTAAGTTGTTTTCTCCATGGGAAGGCCCATATGACATAGTTGATCGTCTCTCAGACGTGACTTTCCGAATAAAATGTGGTCGGCGAGGTAAGCCAAAGGTGGTGCATGGCAACAGAACAAAGTGAACAACAGAACAAATGATGCTGCTGAAAACGTGTCACCTCAAAAAGCCACTGTCGAAGAAGAAACTCTACCCGTGTTTACAGAAGGAAAACAGTGAAGCCCTTAATGAAGTTACTACCACTGATGTGACTGGTACCAATAATAGGACAGTTCTTGATGGAGCAGATGAACCCCACGACGAGACGGAGACCAGTACGGAAGAAGATAAGTCCCATAAAAATTAAGAAACTATGTTGAATTTTAATTTTGTGTTTGTAAATTCTGAGCATTTAATTAAGTTATTGTTAATTATATATTGGTTTAATGTAAGTGGCTATTGTTCGGGACGAACAATACTAAGGAAGGGGCAGTGTTACGACAGCGGAAGTCACGTGATTCTAGTAACACGTCATGAAATTCTCGAAGGATCTTGAATTGTCCTGGCAACTCTAGTCTGTTCCATGCGCCCTCTTTTTTAGTATATAAGCCCGGCAAATAAAGTAGGAATGATATATAGATAGAGAGATTGAAGATCGAGATAGTCCAGTCAAGCCGTGGGTGGGGTGTGTGAATCCCTGTGAATTATAGCGTGTGTTTATAAAAGTAGTTAAGTTTAAAGTGACTGTGGAAGTTAAATGTATTGCAAGGTTTGTAGCGAGAAAGAATGGATTGGTTTAATTGGGAAGGGACTTGTATCGCTGAAGTTTTCCGGAAAGAGTTTCTGCGAGAAATTAACAAACAAGCACATAGTAACAATACCATCAACCATAATACAAATTGGTTCTTTAATTGCAAATAAAAACTGTGGGCGACAATTAGGTGTAAACACTCAATCATCTTTGTTTATAAATTTAGCTGTCCTTGATGTCAGCAAAGCTACATCAATTCTACTATAAAAAAATGAAAATATTTTATGGAGGATTAGTGTAATCTACGATACGTTTTTTCCCGTTTTATAAGTTAAATTTTTGTGCGCCAGCAATACCAAGCGTGAGGGGCGCGTGTACCCGATCCGATTTTATTACTCATCAGCCTACCCTTGAATTGAAATTCTTTCAGGCAGGATTAGAGTAAATTCATCTATGAGACCCTGTGCGTGATGAAATATATCAATCGAAAGGGTTTGACCTCCTGGGTCAAAATCTGTAATTAGATCTCAAATCGGTCAAGAGATGACGTAGCTATGAGCTAAAAGTTTGTACTTGAAAAAAAAAATTCAGAGCCATTCTATGAGCCGCTGTGCCGGGGCTAAAAATTGATAACGCGAGAGCAAAAAAATGCTAACCTAAGATCCCCTATTACGTCTGTGTACTTGAACATGCCTTAAGATAATGTGACGTTGTTCTTCAACTTAATTAGTTTCAGGTCTTAGCAAGGACAAATGATAAACAGAACCTCAAAATGAAAAGAAACTTGTTCATTCACAAGCTGAGGCCTGAGATCAGTATTAAAAAGCTGCTAAGTAAATTGCTGGAACTATTGTAATTATAGAACAACTGCCTCACCTGTAGGTATAATGTTAAAATATTTATGACAATAAAATATTATATCTTAATACAAACCTGTCAAACACTAGGAAGCAGTGTTCATTAAAAACTCTTGGTATCCCTCTGCTCCTGTGAAAATCACATCCACCCAGATCCGCATGGCTTCTGGGCTGGGCGCGGTAAGATAAAAAGTTCGATCGTAGGTTTTAACGCAAAACGTCGATCCAGGATACAGACTTTTACTGGAGTGGAGGTGGTCTACATAAACTTCTTCGATAGCCTTGGGAAAGAAAAATAACTTGTACAACATTCGACATTGTTATACTTCCTGAACTGCCTAGATTTATGGTTTGGCAATTCTGTTGCTGTCACCTGTTGACCACTTAAGCTATTCTGATTTGGTTGATAATATCATATATAATATTAATAGTACTCTAAATTTAACCATAGGAAAAATGTAGTTGTATTATTTGACAGACCGAAATGGGCTCTAGTACTAATACTATGTTTCTATTGTTAGTTGTTCGAAGAATTGTGAAAAGCCTTTTAACACCATCGTTGAAATATAACTATTGTTATAAATTTATTTGATAATAAACCAAAAAAAATAATATATATATATATA